TATAAATACATAATTATAGTTCATGCATTAGTAATGATAAAATTATAATTTGCTTCTAAACGCAAAGTTGAAAATGAAAAACTATAAATCCCAACTTTTGCGTTTGGTTAGAAACTACCGTTTTCATCACTTTTTTTCCGTATGTTTAACATTGATTTTGCGGTCAAATCAGACATCTTAACTAAAAATACTTCTAGAAAGCTTTACCAAAGCGTACCCTAATACAACAATAGCACATGTTATTGTTTTATTTGATTTGACGCAATAAGTTAGATGCTAATTTATCAATATCTATTTTTAAGGTGGTGTTTGTTTTCACTGTTTAAAGTCTTCAAAGCTCTTATGTCTGCGTCGTGCAGACCACGCGCAGACATTGGGATTCGCAGACCGTTTTTTTTAGAAGATAAAAGCTCTTCTAACGTCTGCTCGTGGTCTGCGCGGCGTAAACGTGGCCTTATGTCTGCAGACGTCTTCTAACCTCTTCAAAAGGTTTTATATTTAATTTAATTTTATATTATATTATATTATATTTGATTTTTAATTTTAATATTAATTTTTTAAATAAATTAAATATTAAATTTTTAATATTATATTATAGATATTAATATTAATTTTTTAAATAAATTAAATATTATTTTTTTTAATATTATATTATAGATATTTAATTTTATATCATATAAATTATTTTATATATTATTAAAATTTTATATTTATTTTAATTATTTTGATTTAAGTTTAAATATAATATTTTTTTTGGATTTGTTATTTTTAAATTATATTTAAACTTTTTATATGAAATGTAAGTATTTAAACCACATTAATTAATAAAAAATGATTTCATTGTTTGATAATTAAGATTTTAAAATATAAAAAATTATAAATTTTGTTTTTAAAATTTTAAAATATAATCACAATTAAATAAAATATAATCACAAAATAATTTGATAAATTACAAAATATTTTTCTAAAAATATCATATAATTATAAAAATAAATTATGAATATATATTTAAAAAAATTAAAAGTATTACATAATTGCATATTTAATAATAGTTTAATGATAATTAATGTTTAAAAAAATAGAGGTGTATGATTCATTGATTAATAATAGTTTAATGATAATTAATGTTGTGCCATATGATAATAAAATTCAAAATTTAATATTATTATATAACTTTAGATAATTTAATGTTTAAAAAAATCATATAATTTAATGATCATTTATAAATTTTATTCTATAAAACTAATAATACATGTGATTATGTGAGACTTATAATAGAATTAATAAGGTGGTGTTTGTTTTTCTAAAAAAAATATTATTGTAGTTGTATGAATTATTTAAATTTTAGTATTGTAAAACTAAAATTATTTAAATCTCAGTATTGTAAAACTCTTTTAAGTTTAAAAAAACAGTTTATTTATATTTCAGTTTATTTTAGCAGTCTGCAGACGTTAAAAACAAACAGGCTTCTTCTTGCAGACTGCAGACTTTTGGTCCACCTCTTCTGCTGTAGATGCCTGCAGATGTGGTCCGCAGACTGCAAACATTTTACCTCTGCAAAAACAAACACCACCTAATGCTCTTCTCATCTTGCTGATTTAGCATCAGTTTGCTCAAGGTTGTTATGGTGAACATCTAGTAAATGAATGTCTTTAAGAGCAATTATTCCCAATTTAGAGGTCACTCTATGATTATGGATAATTTAGACATGAAACTTATAGGTAGTTTAAGAATTCCTAAAAAAAGTGGTTTCACAATTTTTTGTTGAGTCAAGATACAAATATTAAATTTTGGAAGGATTAAAAAGTAAAAAATGTATCAAAATGGATATAATTGAAATATTGTTATTTAAAAGTGGTCAAAATGTAAAATTTTCGATCAACCAACGACTGAAAAAAGTTTATATTCATTTTTTATTTTAAAGGACTAAAGATAGAATTCTCCCATTCAATCAAGGAACCAAAACCCCGACTTCTAATAGATTTCTCGTAGCCCATTTTGTGTCCTTGTGTGAATATATATATATATCCTACCACTTATATTGCACGTTTATTAATGATATATTAGTAAATTAAAACAATTTATTTTTATTTTTATTTTTATTATTTTATTAAAATAAAGTCAATTTTAATTTGTTGTTTTTAATTTTTCACTAATACGGTTAGTTTTAATAATATAATTTATTTAATTTATATTTTAAATTATTTTTATCTATCATTAATTTTAATTTTTTTAATTGAATTATTTACAATGATTTATTTCAAGTGGGAAGAATCTTGATGTTACTTAAGTAGGTTTTAAATTCGAGTCTTGTGTATATATCATTGGGAGACTCATCCTAAAACCAGGTCTGCAATCCGATCGTCCGGATTAATCAAGGTGAAGTCCCAAAAGAACCGGGAGGGCAATAAAAAAAATTAGTTAGATAGATTTTATATTTTATATTTTTTTTCATTTCAGTTTTATTTTAAATTTAAATATTTTTAGTTTATGATTTTTTTAATATTATGCGATAAATTTTAAAGTTTTCTATAAATAATTTTTAATAAAATAAAAATTTATTTTTTATACTTTATTTTCTTTGTAAAACAAAATCAACGATGGTTTAGTATTTTTAATAAAATAATATATATTTAACATTAATTTAATTTATTTCTTTCTCTTTAAATTATTTTTTATATATAATGTTAAATTTGAGTATTTAAAAAAATTGAACCATTTCTAATAATTTAATTTGATTAATTTTATTTTTAAAAAATTAATTAATTTTACTTTTTTTATTATTTTGTAATTAAAATTATTTTTATAATGTAAAAAAATTATATAACATAACTATTGACATTTTTATGGAAAACAGGGATTGGGAGTGTGCATAAGAGATTTTAATTTTCATATTTTGTCTCCCATATTTGAGAGACTTGGCATTCTTTGATCCGGGTTCTTCATACAGAGAGCCCACATCATCTACAAAAAGTTTTTTTCCTTTCTGGTTTTGGAATTTCATCTTGAATAATTTGGACCGATCTATGTGGGTTATGAAATATTTTGATGGGTTAGTCTCTCACAATCTGATGGAATGGGCATAAATAAATTTTCAGGATGGACACCATCCGCAAATTAAGTAATTAATTGAATAAAACTCAAAATTTAAGGTGGATACGAAAAATTTCAAAGTAAACACTATCAATAAAATAAGTGACTAAAAAAATAAGTGGCTCCGTCACTGGTCTTTCGGTGAGAAATTTTGATATATATTAAAACTCGAACCCAAAATTTTATTTAAATAATATTAAACTACTTATCACTTAAATCGATCCGTCGATTGATATATAGTCTAAGTTTAGGTAACAATCCGAAGCAACTTGAGAGTAAGGGGTTGTTTGTTTACTTCAAAATGATTAAGCGCTGAATGATTCAAATGCTGAATGATTCAGAGGCTGAATGATTCAGAGGCTCTGTATGAATTAGCTCTGAATGTGACAAGTTGTTTGATAATGGCTCTGAATAATTCAGAATGTACTTCTGTGCTGAATCATTCAGCATTGTTTTGCTGAATCAATTAGCAGTGAATCATTCAGAGGTACAAAACAAACGCGTTCAGCATTCAACACTGAATTATTCCATTAAGAGGCAAACAAACTGTCCTAAAATTTTTGTGAAGAAGGCCAAAACACGGAAGTACGAATCCTCAAACACGGCAACTGATTTGTGAGGTCATGCAAATCACATAAGACCGCTCAACATGGCACAACCAAACATTTATGATATTGTTTATCAAGGATATATAACTCATATTACTTTATCTTGATCCATTAGCTTTATTCCTTGAAAACCAATCGTATTCAAGGACCATTACTCGCTCGACGAATGCTCCACCTGGGATATTCTTCTTCGGCCATCGTTGATGTCATCATTGCAACAGCCGAATCAAATCAATGCAATGATAGATCTAACGATGGCAACGACTAACACCACAACCATGAGGGATTTAAATAGTGGTTTGTTACCGTAATAATGTCTGTTATATAATAATAGTAGTATTGTTTGAAACTATTATTAAATAACCGCAATACTTACAATCATTGTAATAACACCTATCATGCCCGTAATCTAAATACAATCGTAATTTAAATTCCTGATGGCCACCATTTCAATATAGTTAGTTTCAGCTTAAACATGTTTCCTTTCACTTATGCATCTCTTTTTTGTGCTTTAATGTCATATGTCGGGACACGATTTTCCCTCCACCCAAAATCTTAAGAAAACAAGAATCAAACATCTTATAAACTCCCAAGGTTCTCATCTAAATGATTTAGTGGTATTACACTTATGAATAATATATGTTGTTTATATTGTAGGTTTATGGTAGGTTAATGAAAGAATAAGAATAACATGCATTTAAATTGTGATTGTGTTTTCGGTTGTATTGTATTTATTATGATTGTGAAAATAGTATGATATTATAGTCATTGCATGTATCACATTCGTGAAATAACGATTTCGAACATCTTTACCATTGTATAACAATTATTATTTCGATGACAAACCACTATTTTAAATACCTAAAGAAGAATAAGGAAGATACTAAAACACATGTTCTTTTATTTATTTTTAATGCCAAATTACAATTTGGTTACTAGGGAAATAAGATTTAACGGTCGAGGGACCAAAATATATTAAAACGATAACGTAAAGAGTCAAATTGATCTTTTTTTAATCAATGACCAAAATGGAAAGAATCAAAAACATAAGAAATCACCTGTGAATTTACCCTTTTTTTCTTCTAACCATGGTGATACATTAATAGAAATTGTAAAAATTTAGTGACCATTTTGGTAGTTTAAAAAACATAATATAGATATACTTAAATATCTTTTTTTTAGGAAATGATATACTTAAATATCTATTTGGCTAAAACATGTAGCATATGACAAGTTTCTATTTTCGGTGTGCATGAAAGACAAAATCAAAATAAAATTCCCAATTGAAAACCCTCCTTTTTTTGCAAACCCTAACTCCAGGAAGATTAATCTGGCTCCTCTTTTCGTTCTTCTCCTTCTCTTTCTTGGTGTCATATGCTCGTGCCAATTTCCGTAAGCACGTGCGATTCAATCGGTGTTTCGCCGATTCATTTCCCCCCTTTTTTAATTTTATTTTTTACAGTCATCGTCACCGTGACTCTCGTTCTGACCATCGGGTTTCTTGAATCTCCGATTGCAACTGCTCTTGCTTCTGCTTTCAAATAGCTTTTCTTTTCCTCAGGTTCATTTTTAAGGTTTAGGGTTTCCCCTAAATTGTTTTAGAAATTGATGTTCCTTTTTTATTATTATCATTGCTTTAGTCATTTCTTAGTGTTTAATTTACGAATCAGGACAGTGTTTTATCATCGAACTAATTATCTTGCTTCATTGACTGGAGCTGAGGAGTTCCCCAAATTTTCATCCACTATCCTAATTTGGTGTCGATTTTGTTGAAACAATGTAAAAATTTTGAAATTGAGATCGAGACATTGAAACTTGAGTTATTTTATTCAATTTCTTGATTACCTTGAAGCAGGTTACATATAATACTCAATTGCCATTAAAGTGATGTATTTGAAGTGGCTATTAAAAGAGGGGAAAAAGAAGGAAACGTGAATGATTGTGGATGGTGCAATTGTAAGGCAAAATTCGGCTTAACTTATGCAGCTCTTTCTAATTGTGTTCGTTGCTAAGAAAAGGTGGAAAAGAAGAAGGAATAAGGATTGAGATGAATGTACGGGCGCGGATGTCAGGACAGGTTCCTAATCGAAGTTTGCCCCAGCAAAATGGGAACCCTCCCCAACTTGCTCAGATGCAGAATATAGGTACAGGAAGTGCTGGTTCTGGTGGCATTGGAGACTCTCAGCATAATTTGTTGATGATGGAGCCTGAACTCCTAAAAACACGTGAATACATGCGAGGAAAGATGTAAGATTTTCTATAAGCAGTGGTGTTGATTACCTTTTTGTATGAAATGTCCAAATATGTGAATTGATTTAGTTTAAATCATAGAGAAATTTGGAGTACAAGTCGTATTTATTTTGATTTCATTTTTTCTTTTCTTTTCTGTGTGTGTGCATGTATAATTGTACATGATTGCGATGCACAAGTGCTGATGGGGGTTCAGTTGCATGTTTGTAATATTATTTCATCATTTTTTGTTGAGATAATATTTATACTTGTTTTTCTACTTCTGCAAAATGTGAGCATAAGTAAGAACTTAGTAGCAGAATAGTTAGGACTTATATGTCTATGTTTCACTCAAACTCAGCGGTTTATGTTATATCAAGTATAATTGGTGGAATTATAGTTTAAAGAAAACGGTGAAAAGTGCTTTTTGATGAATAGTTGTAGATCTGTTTCTGTAGGATTTTATGAGTTAGTAGATAATGTTTATTCTTCTTGAGATGTTCATTAAAGCATATGCATCATTGAATTGAATAGCAGTTTCAACAAATCTAAGGGGCCATTGTGTAGCGCAAAAGATAAGGCTCTGGTTCAATTTGTTGGGCAGTCCTCTCTCCCTCTCTCTCCCCAAAATAAATAAATAAATAAAACCTAAAGGAAGAAACCCTTGTTTGTTCATTATTCTTAAGTCTCCACATGGGTGGTAGAACATGTATATAATGATCCATATAATCAACATTGCTATTTAGCTTTTTCTGAGATACAATTTATCAATCAAGATTAGGCATTTTGACAGTTTTGTTATTATATCCAGGTATAATGTTCACTTTTAATATCTAATGCTATTCGGATCTCATTTTCTCCAGCATTGATATTTTGAAATTGCGGCACCAGCATCCAGTTACTGAGGCATCAATGATAAAGACTCGGGATTTTGCAAGACGGTTGGAAGAAGGTCTGTTTAAGATCGCTCATACGAAGGTTAATTATTTTTTCTTGACTGGTCTTTTACCTATTTTATTTCTATAGTTGAGCAATATCCTTTCTTCACTTCTTTTCTTTGCCACTTTAGAAGCAACCACTTAGCATTCTTCTCTTATCTTTTTTATTTCTATGTGCTACAACCCAATCTTTCTCCTTATTTCTGACTTTCAAAATTTGTTTTCTAGGAGGACTATATAAATTTGAATACTTTAGAGCACCGCTTACAGACTCTAATAAAAGGGATCCGAAATGTGCGCAACCAACAACATCTGCAGTTTGTTAAATCGGCACCAGAATCAACACCGGTTGGTACAATGATACCAACCCCTGGTATGTCGCACAATGACAATTCTAGTATGGCTGTTACACCTTCGACAGATACTCATATGAATGCTGCCAATGCAAGTGTAGCACTTACGAATGTCAATGCAGGAAGCATGTTTCCAACCGCTGACATGAATAGCGGTTCTGTCAGTAGATCGGATGGTAAATTTGATCCTTACAATCTTTTGTACTCTTATTTAGCATTTTATACTGATGGTAACAGAGTGGTACTTTTGTAGGAAATGTATCTAATGGGTATCAACAATCACCTGCAAATGTTGCTATTGCTTCAGGTGGAATGTCTTCAACTGGCGTGCTAAGAATGACAAGCCAAATGATTCCCACTCCTGGATTTAATAGTAATAATAGCACTAGTAACTGTAATAATCAGTCTTCCAATATTGTTGGTGGGCTTTCAACTGTTGAATCAACAATGGTATTTCAGCCACAGCAGCAAAAGCAACATATTCATGGTCAAAATAATCGTATCTTGCACACCCTTGGTAGACAAATGGGTAGTAGCTTCAGGTCTGGCTTGCAGCAGAAAACTTTTGGGTTTTCTAATGGATCCCTAAATGGTGCATTGGGAATGATGGGAAACAATATTCAAATTGATAATGAACCAGGGACTTCTGGGGAATATCAGACTGTCACATCTTTTGCTAATTCGTCAAAACCTATGCAACAACATTTTGACCAACATCAGCAACCCCCGATGCAAGGTAAAGTCTTGATTAAATTTCTCTGTATATTTCATTTGCTTTAGTAATAATGAATCTGAATATATAATTTGTTATGAGGATTTCCCAATTTTCTCAAATGAACCAATTTTGTGTCAGGTGATGGATATGGAATGAATACCGATTCTTTTGGGTCTGGAAACTTATATGGTGCTGTAACAACCGGTGGATCAGGGATGAACTCCCACAATTTGAATCCAGCTAATTTGCAATCTTTGACCAGAACAAGTTCTTTGATAAATAATAAGTCAAATTTACATGCTGTGCAATCAGCTGCCCATATGAAACCCCAGTCTCTGGATCAGTTTGAAAAGATGAATGTTCAACCTCCTGTTTCTTCAAGAGTTAATATCCTTCAGGCTAATCAACAGAAACAATTTCAGCAGCAGCTTAATCAGTTCCAGCAACAGCGGGAACATCAGAATCAGCAAATTCAGCAGCATCAGAATTTGCACACCAATACTGGTTATAGCCAATCTCATATGGCCTCTTTAAGCAGCCAAGTGAAAAGTGAACCTGGAGAGGAATGCCACAATGAGGTTCTACATGAACAAGCTTGTGAACCATTTACACATTCTGAATTGCGGAATGGGTTCCCGAATATCCATTATAAAGAGCTCTCTAGTCAGCAGGATATGCTTTCATCAATCCCACAAAATTCTCCGATAATGCAGCAGATGTTGCATCAAAATCAATTGATTCCAGAATCTCATAACGATTGTAAGCTTTCAGATGAAGCACCACCAGAATCAGGTGCACACAGCCAGTGGCACCCTCACTCACAAAATCAGGTTCAAATGCCGAAGAACATATCAGAGCAGCATATTCAAGATGCCGTCCGCCAGAAAGTACCGGGGCAGGATGAAGCCCAACATAAAGATTTATCTGCAGATGGATCTTCTATCAGTCTTGTTGTTCCACAAAGCTCATCTGATCCTTCAACTTCCAGGGGTACCTTCACAAGATCCGGAAATGGAAGCCGTGATCGGCAGTTTAGAAATCAAGTGAGGTGGCTTTTGTTTCTGCGTCATGCTCATAGATGTAAAGCCCCCGAGGGTAAGTGTGATGGCTATTGCTATACTGTACGAAAGTTGTTGAGTCATATGGATATATGTGAATCATCTAAGTGTTCATATCCTCGTTGCCATCACTCCAAGATATTGATTCGTCATCACAAGACCTGTGAAAATCCATCGTGCCCTGTTTGTGTTCCCGTTGTCAGTTATGTACGGGCTCAAAAGGCACGTTCCTGTCTAAAACCCTCTTTTGTTCTGCCATCTTTGGATAGTGGATCTACTGAAACTGTAGGTACTTCAGCTAGAATGAATTCTACAACTGCATCAATTGATACCTCTGTAGATCTACAGCCTTCACTAAAACGAATAAAAATAGAGCAGCCTCTTCATTCTGTTACTGCTGAGAGTAATGGTTCAGTAGTATCAGGTTCTGCTGTGGCTGAGCATCACATATCAGAGGATATCCGGTGCCAAGATCGCCAACTAGCTGACCTGTCTATGCCAGTTAAACTGGAGGCTGTGGAGGTCCCCATGAGTTCTGCTGAAGTTAGTCCTGCTTTTATTGAAATGAAGGATGCTGTAGATGACATTTGCAAACAGAAGACTGATGGTGAATCGATTATGTATGATGAATTTAGTGGTCTACCGAAGCAAGAAAATGCTAATATTGTGGAAGAGTCTGATTTAGTAAAACAAGAAAATATGATACAACCTTCCAAAAGTGTGGCTGTAACCAAGTCTGGGAAACCAAAAATAAAGGGAGTGTCTCTGACCGAACTGTTCACCCCTGAGCAAGTTAGGGAGCATATTGCAGGTCTCAGACAATGGGTTGGACAGGTATGCTTTATTTTAGTGTTCTGATCTGTTTGAGGCATTGTTTCTTTTAGCATCTTATGTTCATAATAAGTTGTCGGAGTTGAATATATGTGCTAGATACCAGAAAAGAAGTTGGGTACAGAACAAGGTGTATTGATGGTAGTTATTTTCTTGCTTTCAGAGTAAGGCAAAGGCTGAAAAGAATCAAGCAATGGAGCACTCAATGAGTGAGAACTCTTGTCAGTTATGTGCTGTTGAGAACCTTACTTTTGAACCACCCCCAATTTATTGCAGCCCTTGCGGAGCTCGCATTAAGCGAAATGCAATGTACTACACAGTGGGATCAGGTGATACACGACATTACTTTTGTATTCCATGCCATAACGAGGCTCGTGGAGATACCATTGTTGCTGAGGGAACTGCCTTTCATAAGGCAAGACTTGAGAAGAAGAAGAATGATGAAGAGACTGAGGAATGGGTATGTACAAAACATTTATTATAATATTTAGTTAGCATTCCTAAGATTTACTCACTTTTTCTTCTTCTTCAATAAAATCCTGCAGTGGGTTCAGTGTGACAAGTGTGAGGCTTGGCAGCATCAAATTTGTGCTTTGTTTAATGGTAGAAGGAATGATGGTGGTCAAGCTGACTATACATGCCCCAATTGCTATATTGCTGAGATTGAAAGAGGAAAGCGGAAGCCCTTACCACAGAGTGCTGTCCTTGGGGCCCAAGATTTGCCGAGAACAGTCCTTAGTGACCACATAGAAGAGCGGTTATTTAGGAGGCTAAAACAAGAAAGACAAGAGAGGGCAAGGGTTCAAGGAAAAAGTTATGACGAGGTAATTAATGGATCATGATCTCATGATAGTTGATTCTGCGTTTTATGTGGTGATCCTTGTACTGCTTTTCATGTTGCAGAAATAAGTTTAGAATTGAATTGCTATAAATTCTCCTCCCCCAATATATGTGTATGCATAGCTATGTTCAGATAAGTTTGCTTGTTCCTAGTTATGTGCTGAAGATTAGAAGCTTTGTAGGTTTTATAAATTAAATCATATTTTGCTAGTGATGGAGTATTTTGCATAGAGTTATATATATACATATATATAACCATTGGAAAGCGGGTAATTGGATCTTACCTAGTGATAGTTTGAATTTTCTATCCATTTCTAGCCAGTAATTGGCCCCATTGCCACTAAGTTAAGCTTATTATCTATATGATTAAACTTAAGAATTCTGATTTATTTGACTTGGCCCAACTTACTTCTATATATGGACTTCTACAGCTCTAGTTAATAAGCCTATTTATTGTTTCATTGAGATTTGCAGGTTCCTGGGGCTGAAGCACTTGTATTTAGAGTTGTTTCATCAGTTGACAAAAAGTTGGAAGTGAAGCCACACTTTCTTGACATTTTTCAAGAAGAGAATTACCCACCAGAATTTCCATATAAATCAAAGGTATGAAGGATGTTGATTGAGTATAATACATGCTTTTGTGTGTTCTGATAAACTTTGTAATGCATGCCTTATGTTGAGAATGACACTTTAATTGTAACTATGAAATGCTTATAAGCTACGGTTTTCTTTTAGGTAATTTTATTGTTTCAGAAGATTGAAGGAGTAGAAGTATGTTTATTTGGCATGTATGTTCAAGAATTTGGATCGGAATCTGCACTCCCAAATCAGCGCCGTGTTTATCTTTCATACTTAGATTCGGTAAAGTATTTCTGGCCTGAGATTAAAGCAGTTACTGGAGAAGCTCTCCGTACATTTGTTTACCATGAAATTCTTGTAAGTCCAATCTCTTAGTTAATTCTGCTTAGTGATTTTTATTTTCACAATTCAGTTTGAATGCCATGTGTCAGTAATCTATCGTCGTCTAACATATTGGATTCCAAACCTTACTTTTCCAGATTGGATACCTTGAATATTGCAAGCTACGTGGCTTTACAAGTTGCTATATATGGGCTTGCCCTCCACTAAAGGGTGAAGATTATATCTTATATTGTCATCCAGAAATCCAGAAAACACCGAAATCAGATAAATTGAGAGAATGGTGAGACAAATAGTTGTCCATAATTTTTTTATTTCATTATTTTACATCTCAATTTATATTTTTATTAATCCACTATTACTAACTTCCCTGCTATGCATGATTCTGTTTCAGGTATTTGTCAATGCTGAAAAAAGCTGCCAAGGAAAGTGTTGTAGTTGGTCTTACTAATTTATATGATCATTTCTTTGAATCTGCTGGTGAATGTAAGGCCAAAGTTACAGCAGCTAGGCTTCCATATTTTGATGGTGATTACTGGCCTGGGGCAGCTGAAGATCTAATTAATCAGCTTCGTCAAGAAGAAGATGGCAGAAAGCTCAACAAAAAAGGAACCAAAATGACCTTAACAAAAAGGGCCTTAAAAGCATCTGGGCAGTCTGATCTGTCTGCTAATGCATCAAAGGATCTGCTACTGATGCATAAAGTAATATTTTCTTCCAAATCTTCAGTATTTTTTACCTATGATAACGTTCTCAGTTACCGTTCTTGCTATCTTAGATTTTTCATATCATGAAAAAAGATTTTAACTGGTTACATTGTCTCCCCCCCCCCATTTCAGCTTGGTGAAACCATTTCCCCAATGAAGGAGGATTTTATCATGGTTCACTTGCAGCATTGTTGCACTCATTGTTGTTGTCTAATGATATCTGGAAACCGCTGGGTCTGCAACAAGTGCAAAAAGTTTCAGATTTGTGATAAGTAAGATATCTACTCTTTAGCAATGCGTTAATTTTTGTTTAGGATCTCTCCCTTTGTCTTTGTGTGTGTGTGAGCATAGAAGTATACTACATATGATAGTCTAGCAGGCTATGATTTTGTCAGCTGCGTAGTATACTTAGTAATATGATTGTTTAGCATGAGAATTTATAATCTCTATTAGATCTATATATGAGCAAGAGGGAGTATGCACTCTTTCTTCACACACATAGTTAAGCATCTGTGTTATAGTGTTTCTATATTTTAATTCATGTCTGATCAATGCTAAGGTTCAGTTGTTTGATGCATTTTAGAACGTGTCGAGTGTTTTTCTCATTCTGACAGTAATAATTCCTGCTCATTTTCATATGCAAATCATAAAGAATTATGAATACATAGAGGTATGCTAGTTATCTAAACCCTTGGCCATTCATTACTAGTTTACTATTTTCTCAGCCTTTGGCAATATATTCTAGATATTAAACATTAATCACATTTGTTGATGGTGAATAATAGTGGACTTTCCTAGTGCTTTACAGTTACAGGCTATGCTTCTTTTTCCATCCTTAAAGCTACTACGTTTAGCTATGGAAGATGCCATTGCAGCTGGTGGTGTTGAATAATGGGCTTTCCCTTGTTAGGTTTCTTAGAATTTATTGTTGAATTAACCTCTAGTCAGGACAGTTCTTTCTGGAAAAAAGGGGGGGGGGGGAAGAGAAAAAAAAGTGAAAGGAAAAAAAACCCTTCATATTTGGGGTGAAAAGGAACAGAATATGCAAGGCTATATTATGTTCACAGGTTATGAATCCGTGTCACATGGTAATCACGAGAAAACCTGCTTTTGTCGATAAAGTTTTACCACTGTTGAGATTCCTATCTCTTGAAGAAACTATGATTCTTAGTATATATGGAACTCGTCGAAGGGAGCTCCTAACCTTAGACTTTTTCGGGAGAGTGTCTTAAATCTTCCTAATTGAAATGAATTGTCTTATTTTATTACTAAGAGTATCCCCTTAAATAGAGGCTAAATAGGGTTTTATTGTTTTAGAAAGAAACTAAGATTTAACTTGTAGAATAAGAAACTAAAATTAAGTTTTTTCAATGAAGTACTTGCTAAATAACTTATCTAACTAGAAATGTTATTAAAATAAAGTTGTTTGTCTTATTTGCATCATTGGGGTCTTTGACTTCTTGTCTTGTCCACAAAGGCATTGGAATTAGAGGAGGAGCTTGTCTGCAAATTCCCGGAGCTTCTTGTAACAAAGATCTCAACTCTTTTTTGGCACTGGAATTGCACAAAGTGCCTCGCTCTATTACCGAGTTGTTATGTTCATGGGTTATGGATTATGTCACTAGGCAAATTCACTAGAAAACTTGCTTTACCCTTGCTGCAATTCCTATTTTGTGAAGAACTTATGATTAATAATATGTACAGAACTTGTTGAGTGGAGGTCCTATTCTTGAACTCATCGGTGGGTTCTCCTGAAATTAGACTCACTAGGGGGAGAATCTTAACCATAATTGGGATGAATTTCTATGTTATTTTATTATAAGAATTGTTCCCATAAATAAGAGGTTTTATAGGTTTTTATTCTTGTAAAATAAGAAGCTAAAATTAACTTGTTGAATAAGAAACTATAATTAACTAAACTAAAATTAAGGTTTTTAATTTGCAATAAAATACTTGCTAAATAAATTATCTAATTTATATGATAAAGTTATGTCTTCCCAGCTTTGGTGTCTTTGATTTCTTGTCTTGCCCACAAAGGCTTGCGTCACAGGTAACGCTTGCCTGGTACTAAAATTTAACTTTGCATTGACATGCTAATTCTAGTACTGTAATATTTAATTGTTCTCCCCTTTTTCAAATTTCTTTTTTTTTACACTTGGTGCTCTTAGAAGTGTGATTATTTCTCAGTTTAACTAGTAAAAGAATTCAATACTTTACTCCCTTTCGCGTCCCTGGTTGGATTTGGAAGCTGAATGGCACCATTATTATCTTTGATCCTTTAGTCAAATTATTATCTTCATCTGTTCTTATTTCAATCTGCTTTGGCAAACTTGGAGATAGTTTCTAGTTTCCTAAATAGATGGGTCTAATGGTTGCTTCATTATACCTTCCAGGTGCTATGAAACAGAGCAGAAACGTGAAGAACGAGAGAGACATCCCATTAATCAGAGGGAAAAACATATTCTCCATCCGGTAAGTTTGTCAGAGTACTTCTATAATCGACTTCATCTGTTTTGTCTGTTGTTGCTTCTTTATACAGGCTTTTTTTCTTCTCCTTTTTATCTTTCTAATTGAATATATTTTTGGAAAATTGATTTTGTTCAGGTTGAAATTATTGATGTACCAACTGATACAAAGGATAAAGATGAAATTCTTGAGAGTGAATTCTTTGATACTAGGCACGCATTTTTGAGTCTTTGTCAAGGGAATCATTATCAGTATGATACGTTAAGGCGAGCTAAACATTCTTCAATGATGATCCTGTACCATCTTCACAATCCAACTGCTCCTGCATATGTCACAAGCTGTAAAATATGTTATCTAGACATTGAAACTGGTCAAGGTTGGCACTGTGAAGTTTGCCCTGATTATGATGTATGCAATGCATGTTACCGAAAGGACGGTGGTGTTGATCATCCTCATAAGTTAACAAATAATCCATCATTGGCTGAACATGATGCACAAAATAAAGAGGCGAGACAACTACGGGTTCTGCAGGTACTTTTCTTCAATATATTTATTGAACACTTTGTTATAAAAAAAGTTGTCCCTACTGCGTGATTAGGAGGGTGTGCTTAATTGCTAATCCAATTGAATCATTGAAATATATGTGTACGCATTTGTGTAATAATACTCGAAGACCAACAATGTGTATATCTGACAATGTCTTGTGGTTGGAAATACGAGTTTATGAGCTTTGACTATATGTGTTCTAACATGTCAGATTTCAGATAGCATCATCTAATGATTGGTTCTTTAAATTTGCAGCTGAGGAAAATGCTTGACCTTTTGGTGCATGCATCACAATGTCGTTCTGCTCATTGCCAATACCCAAATTGTAGGAAAGTGAAGGGACTTTTCCGCCATGGAATACAATGCAAAACACGTGCTTCCGGTGGCTGTGTACTTTGTAAGAAAATGTGGTATCTCTTGCAGCTTCATGCACGAGCATGCAAAGAATCAGGATGTCACGTACCACGTTGCAGGTACACTCATCTGGCTCCCACTCCCTTGAACAGCCCTGTACTATTCTCCTTTCTCTGTTTACACCCACGGTTTTAATCCAAAGCTAGTATCATTAAATTTGCTAATTAATACAGGGATCTTAAGGAACATTTGAGGAGGCTTCAACAACAGTCTGATTCGCGGCGGAGGGCTGCTGTGATGGAGATGATGAGACAGAGAGCTGCAGAAGTTGCTGGTAATTCCGGGTAAAACGAACTGTAAATATAGGTGTAGATGTTTTGATGAAAAATGCTCCTTTATCCAATAGGGAGGTAGACAATAGTATTGGTGCTGTGCCAACAGTTGACTGCTTAGAACCAGGCCAGCAATGGGGAAAACCGGCAGATATAAGGCAGGAGATAGCATACAATACTTCAAACTAGTGATTGATTGCTTCTTCAATCCCATGACTGAATTCCCTACAAGGACTGCATCTGCATGCAAACAAAGTTTTACGAGATCGGATTGCAGCAGTAGTGGAGCTATGCCCGATATGTGTCGGTTGACTAATTTGATGATTCTTTATAACTTTCAGCTTGGATCTGTGGAATTGGAATGCTACCCGTGTGGCGAGTGTATCATAATTATGTTCTTATATGTTACCTCTAAATTGCTTCGCAAAAATGTAGGGCTGACCCCATTTTTGCAGAATAACTTATAATTTAAAGATGTAGGTTGACGAAGGTACATCAATTCTTTTTCTAATCGATACTGGGAAATTATTTATAATATATACATACATGCATACAAATATATGTAATTTGTATTACATAGTTCAAAGGTCTATTTTTTTGTTCAAAGGTCTTTTTTTTTTCACTCATTCCTAACTCTATTGCTATTATGGGTGAGCAAAACTTGATCGAAAAATTGATATTTTTTATTCGACTTGATTAAAAAAACTCGACTCGAAATCATTTCGAGTTGTAATTTTATAAACTCAATTCGATTCGAAAAAAATTTCAAGTTCAAATCGAGTTGTAAAGTACAACTCGAATAACTCGAAAATTTTAGTAATTAGTATATGTATTTTCAAGTTTGAGTTTAATCACTCAATTTTGTATGATATATATATATATATATATATTTTTATCAAAAATTACACATGAATAGGTTGCTATATATATATGTATTATATATGATTATAAAATATCATTTAAATTAAAATCAAATAATATCATAATATTATAAATGTATAATTAAATATAAACACAAACACGAAAATTCAACTCGAGTCGACTAGAAAAAATTTCAAGTCAACTCCGAGTTGTAAAATAAGATTCGTCAACTTGAATAAGTTAAAAAAAAATTTACTTGATTCGATCGAACATTCACCCATTCTATTTGATTTTGGATTTTATGGGATTTGAATGTCATGTTTTCTTGCAAAGTTACAAGATTCGGTCTGTGGCCAGCCAAATTGGATTGGGCCTTGGTTTAAGCTCGGCCTGCTCAGACTGAGACTTTGACGTTTCCCAATTTATCTATTTATTTTAATTATTAAATTATTTATTTTTAAAGCCATTCTTAACATTTTGTTTATATTTGTGCTAATATTCGGCTATCGGTCGTTAATCTTTTTAGTGGAGATGGAGATATATCCTGACAGAATAATAATTTTAGTACTATAATTTATATATTATATTAATTAAGTCTTAATTCAAAATAAATTTTTAAATATTTAAATATAAATACTCCCCAATTATAGGTACTATTTTTTCTTTTGAGTTTCATTATTATTTAAAGTTGCAAAATATTTTTTGATTATGGGATATTACTTTGTTGAATCCTCTGATTACCAAAAGTTATGAAATGATCACTCGATTATTCATATATTTTAAACTCATCATTTTTTTAAAAACAATTGATGATCATCTCCGATGAATGTTAACCTATTGACTTAGATATAAAAAATATGATCCAAAACCGTTTGAGATGTATAGTTATTTGAGATTCAAGGATCAAATTTTACCATATCCTAATCAATAAGTTAACATCCAGCTTAGATTGTCATCAAATTTTTAATTAATTTTTTTGAAGATTATATGAGTTGGACACTAACTTGTTGACTTAGATAAAAATATATGATCTTAGAACGTTTGAGATGTATAGTTATTTGAGATTTTAGGGTTAGATTTTATCATATACTAATCAGCATGTTAACATCGCTTAGATTGTCATCAATTTTTTAATTAAAAAAGTAACATGTTGACTTAGATATAAAAAATATGATCTCAGTACCGTTTGAGATGAATAATTATTTGAGATTTTGTCATCAATTTTTTTAATTAAAAAAATAAATTTAGAAAATATGAATAGTCTAGTAATTATTTCGTAACTTTTAATAGTCAAGAGACTTAACAAAACAATATCTATAATCGAAGGATTATTTTGTAGCTTTTAAAAATGGAAAGATTTAAAAAAAAATCCCATGATCGAGGTACTATTTATATACATTATCTTAAATATTTAGATAAAACCTCAAATTTCTCATTTTCCTTACCTCTGCAATGACCCATCCTCCCGCAAGCTTAATTGCATATTACATCATTGATGTATTAGATCTCTGTCAAGTAGTAGGAATCTCTCTAAAATCTAGGCGTATTTAGGTTTTTGAGAAAATAAAAATAATTTCTTAAAAATTGGGTTCATCAGATACGATCCATCTTGTCTTGGGATCTTGGACCTCATTTATTATTTTCTGAAAATTCAGGTGGTCAAAGCTTTACTAACTCATTCTCGGCTTCTGTAAGTTTCCATTATGAGTTTTCATGTTCACGCATTGATTGTTCCATTCCCTTTTCAGCCTAAAATCTCTCTCTCTCTCTCTCTTGTAGGCATATTTCTTGCAATCCTGAATGTTTAGTGGCAAATACCATTTGAGCTTTGCACACCATCTCCTGAAAAAGAGAAGAAAGACAATCGGGGATGAAGGCAAAGATAGATCGAGGGGCGGATGGTCTCCTCTAAAAAATTAAAATTATTATATATTTTAATTTTTTTTCAATGTAATCTCTATTGAATATCCGTTTTTGTCTCTCGAAATTTTATAAGTTCAAGTTCAACTTTTGAAATTTTGTAAGTTCAAATTTGTCCATAATATAAAATCTTGCGTCTATCCCAGACTTGTCTAGCATGACACAAAGCCAAGTCCATGCCAATTTCAAAGCCTTTCCAACCTGTAAAAGCAATGGTTGTTGATCTTTTACCACATACTCCACACTGTGAAATGGTGATGCTCTTGGAGGGATAGTGTGACCTACACTCGTTGCTAATTGATACATACAAGCTTAATACAAAGAACAAAACCCAGAATTTGGTAATTAAGTTTTTCTTTGTCTTTATGCTGCATGTATTTGTATGTATCAATGAAAATGCTTCAACTGCTTCCATTTGTGTTGGTGGTGTTCTGTATTGCTTCAGATTATTCTCGGACATGTACTTGCAAAATGGTCTTGACCAATTTATTATTTTTGAAACTTGAGTGTGGAAAACAAAACCTTACTTAAATATTAGTGATTGTTTATGTAATTTATGTTTTCAATTTTATATATTCATTGTGATACATAAACAATCCGTTAAAGTCTAACGGTAGTTAATCCTCAGTGCTAACATCTTAATTAAATAAACATCAAAGTGGCCAAATATTATGGTTTTAAATTTGATGAGAAAAAACTTACAAAACATAAACGAAAGTAATCAATCTTATATTTTACTTATATTCTATTTCACGTCATTCTAGGGATTTTTGCCTCAGGGTTTTTATGTTGAGCATGACAACCATTTCTGATAAGTGTTTCAAAGTGTATTTTGAAAGTGAATATGTGTATAAGCTATGCTTCATTTGAGAACCACTCATGATGAACTTGGATTAATTGACTATTTGTTCTTAATAGGACCTTTGGATATGAAAGGCATGCCTAGGAAAGAGTACTCCATGGCTTTCTATATGAGTGTGAACAAAGGGTTATATGGGGAAAGGTTGGTGCATTGAGCAATGCTCCGAGAAGAATACGGGGTAAGGTTGGTTCATTGAGTTTACTCCGAAAGTCATGGTTTTATACCTAAATGAGCCCATAAATAAAAGGGAGTTCTGTGGAGCCCGTTTATCTAATGAGTGAGTTGTGTTTCGAACAAAAGGGTCATTAATCTATAAATGAGATATATTAAATAGATATGTGTGTGATAATGCCAACAAGGTAATGGTGCATGAGTGTATGTGTATTCTGCAAGTATGTGATGAAATAAGCATGATTATAATCTGGTTTATGTGTGTAAAAATGATGCATTATATGAACATTGAAACATGACACGATGGCATGAATGTTAAGGTAAGAACAAGTGAGAAGTTAATGTATGTAGGATCTTTTATTTAGCTTTGAAATGAGAATATCTTAGAATGTTATTTATTCACTGTGCTTTCAACTCACACTTGATGTTTAATTATTTTTCAGAGGATTAGTTGCTGACTCAGAGGAAAAGAGCAAGCATCTGATGTGATCGAGCAAGGCAATATTAAATAAAGCGTGTGTTGTTTGGTTTCATAAAACAACATTGTGGGAACCATTGAGACTTAGATGTTCTCGATATGCTAAACTTGTAATAAATGTGGCGTGATAAATTGGACTATTAGATTGTAATAAAGCATGTTAATTGATTGATTTTATTGTTTGAGGATGTTCATTTCATGTAAATGTGTGGTTTGAATGTCAAGTTGGGAAAATGTTGATTTTTCCTTAAAGAAGTGTTTTGTTTGCTTAGACAAGTGACACTAAGTGTACTAAATGTGTTAGACTCATATGATGCATGAAATGACCCAAAATACATAATTTAACTAGGTGACTTGTGTCAAAAGTAAACTTTTATGCAATATTTAACTTTCGATGCTAGATCTTTTTATGATATATTAGCTTGTGTTATAAAGCATGTTACAAGTGTATTTTGACATGTATGAGTGATATGAGAGTGTCCAAGCATGTATCTAGTCCCTAGGATTGATTATGTGAAAGTTTGGTGGCTTATTCATGCATGTTCTTGAGAATTATGCATTTTCCAATAAAAGGATCGATCTTTTCCCCAAAAAGATTAATCGCTTGCACAGTGGATCGATCTCAAACCTACTGGATAGTAAAGGATCGATCACCCGTGAAAAGGGATCCATCCCTTCGATATATGCTTGATGAAAAATTAGTAAAATTGCATTCATTAAAGGTTCTAAGTATCCCTAAGTCTTAGCTTGACAATAAGATGCTTTTGTAAGTTTAAAATGGTCCAGAAATTGAATTGCTAATTAATATTAGACCTTAACTCAGAATTTGATGAAACTTGTTCTGTCACACTTTAATATATCGAACAACATAATAAAGTTGTCAATTGCATGATTGCTATTTCTATATGACTTTTGAATTATTTACGTTTACTCCTTAGAAAAGCATGTTCAATTAGGTCCCTGTTTAATGTCTGATTAATCTGGAAATTTGCTCGACACTAATTAATAATGAATATTGGTAAAATCATTATCATTTCTATTTTGAATTATTTGATGGTATAATATGACTAATTTGCCTATGTTTAGTTAATAGCGATTGTCTTTTAATTCATCGATTATTGAATGTTGTTAAGTTTATTATTTGTTAATCCATTGCCATGTATTGCACGATGTATGTTTTATTTTAAATGCTTTCGGATAGTATGCATATTTAGGGTTTTTGTTACGTTTGACAAGTTTAGAATCTAACGTACACTCATATATCCAGGTTATTCTTCGTGACCGGGGATGGGGTGGTACATTATATG